ATATATACATTTATTTACAGCAACAGAAAAATCAAGTTGATATAATGGATTGTACATTCCTGTTTTGTTTAATAGTATTTAGTATTTATGATCTGTTTCTATAACGTATTCTTGCAGAAAAAACAGCGATCGAGATAGATTTAGTGTTTGCTTGTTGTTGTTGTTTTTTTCAAGAATTATTCATTCTTGCCCATTTCTGCTTTCAAAGGATCAATGTACCGAGGATCCTAAAGTTTTCGCGACGGAATCATTGAAAATCCTCCGTCTGCAACTCCTATATGTGGGAGAAACACACGGAAAAGATATACATATTTATATATAGGATTAAAAAAAACAAACAATTGAGATTGATTTGGAGATAAGTAGTTGGAGTTCTCCACGACCAAATAACATGTAACTCTTTACTGGGGAATCTGCACGTTATTAATCATACTATCCTGTCTCCTATTTAATACAATTAATGTGAGTTGTCATCACGGCAGATTTGATGCCGGAGAACTGGGGGTATTGATCCGTAGTAGTAGTACGCCCGGGGCTGAATGGACTCCATGATGATACCCTACTAAATGCTGTTATTGATCTTCTGGAAAGCTGTTAGATGCTTTGACGATGAATGCATCGCGATACTCAGTTCATGGTAATTAGGTTTGAGTTGATCATTTTGATTTTCTTATTTGGCTCAGAAGAAGATGGGTTCGTAAAGAAGAGTTGCGGATTTAAATCTCATTGTTATGGATCTCCACGTCTTTGTACGAAATCTACATTCCTACACCAACACACACACAAGAAAACCTAATTACTTCAAAATTGTTTGGATGAAGTTTTGTTTGTTTACTGCACTCGAGTAAAATGAAAGCTTTTCGAAAACACGGCGTCTCATAGGAATTCTTGGTTGTTAATTAATTAACGATATAAATAACGGTATTAGCAATAATAAAGTTAAGATTTCCGGATCAAAGCGTACGATGTTTAGAGTCATTGATCAATTGCGCAAGACTTCTTAAAAATATCCATGGCATGTCCTAGGGGAAAGGTTACCTTCACAAAATCTTCGAAACTTTGATAAAAGAGAAACAGGAGAGATCAATAATCGAATAATTATTTGTCATTGGTAGATAGATAGGTTGAAATTTACTGAAGTTGATTAGAAAATTACACATTTTCGGTTACTAATCTTTTATGGGAACAGTTCAGGTGAAATAAGATTTTATATATTTCACCTTTAGGTCACGTATTTTTATTAAGAGTCATCAATGCATTTTAACACAGTATACACTTCAATTTACAATTTACAAAAATAAAAATTAAAATGGTGTGTGTGTGTAAATAACTAACAAATTGTTGTGTGTGTAAATAACTAACTAATTGTTGTGTGTGTAAATATCTAACAAATTGTTGTGTGTGTAAATAACTAACTAATTGTTGTGTGTGTAAATAACTAACTAATTGTTGTGTGTGTGTAAATATAACTAACTGTTGTGTGTGTAAATATCTAACAAATTGTTGTGTGTGTAAATAACTAACTAATTGTTGTGTGTGTGTAAATATCTAACAAATTGTTTTGTGTGTAAATAACTAACAAATTGTTGTGTGTGTAAATAACTAACTAATTATTGTGTGTGTAAATAACTAAAAAATTGTTGTGTGTGTGTAAATAACTAACAAATTGTTGTGTGTGTAAATAACTAACTAATTGTTGTGTGTGTAAATAACTAACTAATTGTTGTGTGTGTAAATATCTAACAAATTGTTGTGTGTGTGTAAATAACTAACAAATTGTTGTGTTTGTTAGTTATTTACACACACATTGTTGTGTGTGTGTAAATAACTAACTAATTGTTGTGTGTGTAAATAACTAACAAATTGTTGTGTGTGTAAATAACTAACAAATTGTTGTGTGTGTGTGTGTGTAAATAACTAACAAATTGTTGTGTGTAAATAACTAATTGTTGTGTGTGTGTGTATGTTTTTTCCAACATTATTCAAGAACTTCTCTCGTGTCGCTGCTTTTCAACACAGTTAATCCTCCCCACTGATAATAGAGACATCAGTGGTCTGTTTCACAACTGAAACTCGGTTCAGAAAATACAAATATCCCGCTAGATGGAGCAGCAGCTAGGAACTGTTGGCCATGAAGCGTCGATATGTAACAAGTACAATTGGTTTTACTGGCATAATGATAGTGTTGAGTCAGGATGCGATGACAGAAAAGGAATTTCACAATTTCTAAACCGTTTGATTACACAAGTTTTGTTTACGATCGCGTTTCGTATTAACACTTTGATCCAGCACCCCTCTGGTAATTCATTAGATATTAATCATTAGGTTCCTTTTATTATTTTACATCTTACGGATATTTTATTTACAGCAATAGTTAAAAAAAAAAAAACATACAGAAATCATATTCGCTATATATATATATTTGATATCTTATTAATAGGAAGGATAAAATGTGTGAAAAAAAAAATGCTAGGAGAATATACATTAAGGCTAACTTACTACGCGCCATTCATTTGACAGATGGTT